CTGCCAAGACCCTTGAGAATCCAATATATTTCAATGAGATCATCTTTCATTCTTCTAAATTCCAGTAAATAAGAGTTTCAACCTGTTTAGCCCTTGCTCATAAAATAATCCCTCCACAGCAGGGATCACCCTCATGAATGTTCTTTTAATTCCCTCTAATGAAATAACATCTTTCCTTAAATAAGGGGACAAAAGTGCTCAAAGTATTCCAGATGTGGTCTCACCAGCACCTCGTACAGTTCTAGATTCAATAGGAGTTATACAGCACGAAACAAACCCTTTGGTCCAACCAGTCCATACCAATCATAATCCTAAATTAAACTAGTCCCACCTGCCTGTGCTTGGCCTATACCCCTCCAAACACTACTTATTCATGAACTTATCTAAATGTCTTTTAAATATTCCAATTGCACCCACATCCACCATCTCCTCTGGAAGTTCATTTCACACAGGAAGCACCGTTTTTGAAAAAAAAAATTGCCCTTCATGTCTTCTTAAATCTTTCTACTCTCACCTTAACAATGTGGCCCCTAGTCTGGAAACCCCCCCACCTAAGGAGAAGACACCTGCTATTCACCTTACCTGTAACCCTCATGATTTTATAAACCTCTATAAGGCCACTCCTCAACCTCCTATGCTCAGTGAGAAAAGTCCTAACCTATCCAGCCTCTCCTAGTAAAATCTTCTCTACTCATACTCCAACTCCCTCGAAATAAAGGTCAACGTTCGATTAGCCTTCCAGGCTACCTGCTGCACCTCTGGGTGAGATAAGATTCACAACCCTTTGCACAAGTGAAGGTTTCCTCATCTCAGTCCTAAATGATTAGCCCCTTCTCTTCAGACTGCCAGTTTCCTGGATTATCCAGCCAGCTGAACCAACTTCTCACTGTCTACTCTGTCATGTTTCTTCAGAATCTTGCATTCTTCAATGAGATCACCTCTCATTCTTCTAAACCCCGGAGAATTTAGTCCCAATTTATGTAGACTGTCATAAGACAACCCTCTCCTACCAGGCATCAATTTCATGAACTTTCACTGAACTGCCTCCAATGTAAGTACAATCCTTCCTTAAATGTAGAGTACAAAACAGTACACACATTCCAGATGTGGTGTCACCAAAGTCCTGTACAACTATAGCAAGACTGGTTTATAATTACACTCCAATCCCTTGCAATAAGGGCCAGCATATCATTTGCCTTCCCAAGTGCTTGCTATCTCAGGGATCCTTTACTTGCCCACTCCTTCACAAGTCACAGAAAGCTAGCATGCATGTGCAGGAAGAAATGTGAAAGGCAAACAGCATGTTAACCCTTATTACAGGAGGATTTGAGTACAAGAACAAAGAAATTTTGTTTTAGTTGTATACAGCGACTGTTTGTGTGGAGTTTGCACATTCTCCCCGTGTCTGCGTGGGTTTCCTCCGGGTGCTCTGGTTTCCTCCCACAGTCCAAAGATATGCAGGCTAGGTGGATTGGCCATGCTAAATTGCCCATAGTGTCCAGGGATGCTTAGGTTAGGTGGGTTAGATATGGGAAATGCATCTGGGTGGAGTGCTCTTCGGTGGACTTGTTGGGCCGAATGGCCTGTTTCCACACTGTAGGGACTTGATGACTCTATAACACTAGTGAGACTACACCTAGAGTTTTGTCTATAGCACTGGTTCCCTTGTAGAAACAAGGATACACAACACATGCAGCAAAGGTTCAACAAATGGATTCCTGGGATGATGGGACTATGACGAGAGATTAACCTCACATAGTCTGGAGTTCAGAAGAATGAGAGGTGATCGATTCATTGGAATTCTCTTCCCCCAAGAGCTGTGGAGCTTCAGTCATTAAGTAACTTGAAGACAAAGATCGATAGATTTCGAGATACCAGGAACAACAAGGGACGTGGAAACAGGGCCAACAGAATATGGCATTTGAGCTCAATAATTTAGAATGCCAGAGATGGCTTGTGGGCTGAATGGCCTACTCCTGGCCTTATTACTGGCATGCTAACTTGCTGTGCTCCTTACACAAGTACAACAAAGTCTCTCAGAACATCAACATTTTGTAAGTTCCACTCGCTTTATGTAAATAAACATTATTTCTCACAAACCCCTGAATGCCTTACCCAAAACATTAAATCTGGGTGCCCTAATCCTTGTAACATCTTGTCATAACTGCTTTTTTTTTTATATGCCGTAATAGAGTGCCTTCTTTGAAATATATAAATAATTTTGAACATACAAAAGGTTGGTCAGTAAATCCTGCAAATAAAAACAAAAACACAGAGCGCACACTGTGAGCAGTGAGGTAAAAGCAGTTGTTCTCACATCAAGGCAGTATTTTTGTTTACATTAATCCTCCTGGATTTTGAAAGAAATTTCTTAATCATTTATACTGTATTCTTTCCAAAAGTCAAGTCAGATGTGAATCATAGCCTATACATCTGCAATTGTGCTGAATGGGCATTCACTGTATCATATTTCATCAGAGGAAGGAGTTACAATTTAGATTTTTTTTATATAAAGGGATCTGCATCATCTTTAGGTCTAACTGTGAGAACTGTATCCTTTATTCTTTATGCCCCTTGAAACACAAATTATCAATGAAAAGCAGTCTCATCATAGAGTTGTACAGCACAGAAACAGACCCTTCGGTCTAACATGTCCATGCAACCAAATATCCTAAAGTAACCTTGCCCCATTTGCCAGCATTTGGCCCATATCCCTCCAAACCCTTCCTATTCATTTACTCATCCAGGTGACTTTTAAACATTGTAACTGTACCAGCCTCCATCACTTCCTTTGGCAGCTCATTCCATACATGCACCACTTTCTCCGTGAAAACAATGTCCCTTCGGCCCCTTTTAAATCTTTCCCCTCTCACCTTAAACCTATGCCCTCCCCGCCCTGGGGAAATGACCTTGGTTACTCACCCTATTCATGCCCTTCATGCTTTTATAAATTTTATAAAGTCGCCCCTCAGCCTCCCTCACTCCAGGGAAAATAGCCCTAGCTTATTCAGCCTCTCCCTGTAGCTCAGATCCTCCAACACCGGCAACATCCTTGAAAATCTTTTCTGAACCCTTTCAAACTTCACAACATCCTTCCTATAGCAGCGAGACCAGGATGGAACAGTTTTTAACAAGTCACTGTTTGCTAAAAGCAGAATCTCAAAATTGTTCAGTTTTTTTTTTAAAATGAGGCTTCAAATAAATGGTTGATGTTGCAGTTCATCTGCGCGGTGAGCTATATTAATAATTGCAGTTATCAGGCAGGTTAGAATCAGAACTCTGCAGATGGTGACCAATTAGCTGTCCTGCTGATGCTTGCTCTTTGAGCAGGAGCTAAGTGAGAAGTTGTAATTTCCTTGCTTTTGCCAAAAAGGCCTTGCAGATTTTTTTTTTGCTTGCTCATTTGTCAAACTACCAACTGTTTTTCACCACCCTTTATGGTAGCACATTCCACTAAGTCGCATTACCCATTACATTTAAAAAAAAGAGCTCTCATTTGTTACTAATGACCTTAAATCTGTGTCTGCTGATCACAAGTCTGCCTGCCAGTCGAAACACATCTCCTCCCATGGTTTACTTTGAATAAATCATGAATAATAGTGATCAGCTCTGCGAAGTCTTATTAGAACCTTCTCCAGACTACACATCTTGTAAATATGAATGGACAGCATTTGCTAAATACTTCCGATTGTCCCTGTTATTCTTAGCACAGTCAATACATTGGTTTTAATTGTAGTGCACTTGCGTAAGCTAGAAATTACATATAGGAATATACAGAGCCCTTTTCTTTTCAGACAAAGAACATGGTCACATTTCTCACTTCACAATTGCTACCAGACCTGCCAAGTTTTTCCAGCACTGTTTTCATTTCAGATTCCTCATATCTGCAGTATTTTGCTTTTATAATTATGTGCGCACATTAAACCTGTTTCAATTTTACAAATCAGGGGAAACACATTCTCTGGTGAATTGCTCAGGGCAATGTCTTGACCAGAGTTAGTTTGCCTAGTTTAGTTTTAACCAGAGCGTCTAGTTAGCTGGAACTCCCTACCCAACAACATCATGGGTTTACCTACACCAAATGGACCAAGGCAGCAGCTTACAACCATTTTCTCAAGAGCATCTTGGTATAGACACTAAGTTTTGGCCCAGCCAATGACACTCACATCCCATAAATGAACGTTAAAAAGTTATTTAACTGGTGCGTTCTCCATGGTTACACTTCTACAATCAACAGTCCATTTACCATCCAAATCAGAACTCCCTTCTCACACTGTATAAAGTGCTGTCCTCCTCCTTTACATTAATATTCCTAACAAAAATCCTTATGACTGCAAGACAAAAAGTGTCTTTTATACTCAAAGAACTTCCATTGTTTTAACTTTACCACTTTTAAAATAAAAACTTGTTCCTGTTGTTTTTCTTCAAGTATTAGGTCAGTTTCAATTGATCTCCACCCCATTATAATGTTTTGGAGGCTTCCCCAAGTTGGAGGGAGAGGAATGGGCAGGGCAGAGCTGAGCCTGCACCTACACCTACAGTGAAAACTTCTCATTCACAGACTTGTGAATTAGCTGAGGGGCAACGGGCCCAACCCGCACCACTTCTTCCAGTTGATCCTAATGTTTGGCTTCTCCAGCATTGGTCAAAGTTTGACTGGATCACAGGATAAATGCTAGAATTTTTAAACAAAAATATCAGCTCTTATTCTGCAAGTATGCTTTAAACCCCAAGTACTGAGAGCTATGAGAAGTTAATGACTGGGTATGTGCAAACTTCAGTAAGATCGGCACATAATAGACCTCCTTCAGTGCTTTCTACAATTATATTTATCCTATAGGTCATCTTATTTGCAGCCTCTTTTTCTCCCCCTACCATTGCTAGCTGGCAACAAGCGACTATATGCCAATAATATATTGATGGCTGTCCTTGGGATGTACCAAGCTCACAAAAGGTGCTACGCAAGTGCAAGTTCTTCCTTGTCAGACTGTAAGACTCACCTCTCTACAGACAGCCGCTATCTGTCCTTCATCCATGCAGGTTTCCGTGACGACATCAGTGAGTGAACCACCTGCCAGGTACTCCATAACCACCCATAATTCATCCCCTACGAGGTAACTAGCAGGAAGAAAAATTCAGTGAATGGTCTAAAACCTGCTGAAAACACAGCTATTTTAACCTTAAAGCTGTAAAGCAGAAACATGTTGGAATTGTTCAGGCAGCAGCTGAAAAACAGCATTAATATTTCAAGTCCACGAGCTCTCTTCAGAACTATGTCTGAGCAATTTTTTAATTCCATTATTAGGATCATAGAATCCCTCCAGTGGGAGAGCAGGTTACCAAGTCACACCGACCCCAAGAAGAGCATCCCATCCAGACCCAACTTATCCATGTAACCTTGCACTTCCCATGACTAACCCATCTAGCCTGCACATCCCTGGACACAGTGGGCAATTTAGCATGGCCAATCCACCCTAACCTGTACATCTTTAGACTGTGGGAGGAAACTCATGCAGACACGGGGAGAACGTGCAAACTCCGCACAATCTCCTGAGGGTGGAATCGAACCAGAGTCCCTGATGCTGAGAGGCAGCAGTGCTAACCACTGAGCCACCGTGGTGTCATGGATGTGGTCATCGCTACCAAGGCCAGCATATGTCGTTCACCCCCAATTTGCCTTTAACTGAGTAGCTTACTAGGCTGTTTCAAAGGTTATTAAGAGTCAACCACACTTCTAGTCTGGAGCCACATGTAGGCCAAATTGGGAAACTATGGCAGATTTCTCTGCTAATGGCATTAGTGAAATAGATGGGTTTTTATAACAATGACACTTTCACGGTCACCATTACCAAAACTAGCTTTCAATTCCAAATCTATTGATTGAATTTAAATTGCAGTAGTTGCCACGGTAGGATTTGAACCCATGTCCCGAGAACCCGGGCCTTTAGATTACTAGTCTGATCTATAGAAATACTGGCCCTATGCTAATTTCATTCAGTCTTGCAATATCACATTTGTCATTGAAGCGTTCCTCCACCCAACCACAGACAGATCTCTTCCTTCAGTTTCTTATTTGCCCTTTGTTTCTGTATCTTCCAGTTCTGGTAAAGGGTTATTAATCTGAGGCATCAACTCTATTTCTCTGCACAAGTACTGTCAGATTCCATTTCTGGTTTTTCATGTTAGCAATTAGAATCATAGAATCCCTAGTGTAGAAGGAAGCCATTCAGCCCATCGAATCTGCACTGGCCCATCGAAGAGCATCCCACCCAAACCCTGTAACTCTCACATTTCCCATGGCCAATCCAGCTAACCTGCACATCCTTTGGACAGTGGGAGGAAACCGGTGCACCTGGAGGAAACCCATGCAGACACATGGAGAATGTTTGTGTGGAGTTTGCAGTCGCCCGAGGCTGGAATCGAACTGGATCCTTGGCACTGTGAGGGAGCAGTGCTAACCACCGAGCCACTGTGCCTCCAAGCCTCCAATTCGCTATGACATTTATTTCTGCCAAACTGGTTTTTGTCATGTCTCATTTACTGTCCGCAGTGAAGAGACACGCATTTGTTTATAAGCTACTGCTAAATAAATATGTTTATTTACACAATTTCTCATTTTAACCCCTCTTTGAAAATTCGCAAAGAAATACCTCTGCTTCTACTCAGAGACAGAAGTCATTCAACACCAAGTTATTGCCCAACAGGATTATTTGAAATCACAAGCTTTTGCAGCACAGCCCCTTTGGGCTATGCTCCAAAAGCTTGCGATTTCAAATAAACCTGTTGGACTATAACCTGGTGTCATGTGGCTTCTGACTTTGTCCACCCCAGTCCAACTCCAGCACCTCCACATCATGTCTACTCAGAGCTTCATCACTGGAGGTAATGCACAACTGAACCATGCAAGACTCCTTCCCCCATCTGTAGTATACAGCATCTCCATGCTAATATTCAGATTGATTAAAGTATAGTTGTGTTTTGAATTGCTGAGTAGATCTAATAAAAAGTACCCCTTCACGCATGACTGTCACACCTATGAAAGGTGCAAAACTAGGTACGTTAATTATTTCCCACAATCCGACAGGCATCAAGGGGAATTTATTTTTTTAAGATCAACCTATTCAGAGATGTTAATGATATCTCTGTGTAGTCAATAGAATTTGAAACTGAGCCTTCTGGCCCACAGGTAGGGACACTACCACTGCATCAAGGATTTTGTTGCCCACTTTCAACAACTGAGGGGCTTGGTAGGCATTTGACGGTGTGTAGAGAGTTAATTACATAGATGAGACATTCAAACAAAACACTGATTAGACAGGACATGAACAGCAAGTTTCCATTCTCAATTAGTGAATCAGTTGAATCTTTGACAACAATCCAACTGCTTAAAAACTTAATTCCAATTCTAAAGCTGCTAAGGTGGCATTCAATTTGTATTTTGAAAGTCCAGACCTCTGGATTTTTAGTTCAGCAATATCACCATCATAACATTGTACCATTTTATTCATATATCCATCACATGTGGTAGAAAGGATTTTTTTTTTCGTTTAAATGAAAAGAATTGATATGCAGCTCAAAACTGATAGGGCGAGCAATTCTGAACAAAAGGCCAAATAGATACCAATGTTGTTGGGAAATGAACAGACATTCTCAGTGGAAATGCTATCTTCTGAATGAAGCCTATGAAAGAGAAATGGGCACTCCGTGATCTTTTTGATTCAGTACGGTTATGGTTTGAGTATTCTGCGTGCACTTTGTAACCATCACCTAATCATGGAAAATGATATTTTTGATTATGAGGTGAGCTCCACTTCATGGCTTTTCTTTAACTCACAAATAGTTATGAGCTTCTTTGGCATGCACATTTACTTTGGGTTTCAATATCCATTTTTCCGCAAAGTGACACGCTGCCCAAAATTTAACAGTGATTTAAAACATAACCCTAAAGCATAATTTTACTGTCAGTGGCATATGTGTATATGATTGTTCAATAAAATTAAAAAAATTTTTTTTTCTTAACTTAGGTCTACTAAAAGGCAGTGAAATGGAGATGCTGTCAGAGAGAACAAGCTCAAGCATGTATGATATCATACCAGTCTTTATTTCGACATTGTAAAATGGTCCACTGCATCACAGATGAAAACTTGACTACAGCAAACCATTATATTTCCCTTGCAGGCATTTGACTACACAGTGAATGGTTTAAAACCTGCATGAAAACACAGCTATTTTAATCATAAAGCTGTAAAGCAGAAACATGTTGGAATTGCTCAGGCGGTCTGCTAGCATCTGAAAAACAGCATTAACATTTCAAGTCCACGAGCTCTCTTCAGAACTAGAGAATGGTAGAGGTGATCTTTGTTTCAGCAATTTTTTTATTCCTTTATTAGGATCATAGAATCCCTACAGTGAGAGAGCAGGCTACCAAGTCACACCGATCCTAAGAAGAGCATCCCATCCAGATCCACCTTATCCACGTAACCTTGCATTTCCCATGGCTAACCCACCCAGCCTGCACATCCCACTACTACAATTTAAATTCAATCAATAATAGTAGTACCTTATTTTGATTTATAGCTTTTTTTTTTTAAATTATAATCTACTTGCATGACACAATAGATCACACATACCGTTGGAGATAAATAATCAATATTGTACATGGAATCTGGCATAACCATAGATTTACACAACCCAGTCAATCACAGCACCTGTAAACTGTCATAGAACATAGAACATAGAACATTACAGCGCAGTACAGGCCCTTCGGCCCTCGATGTTGCGCCGACCTGTGAAACCAATCTGAAGCCCATCTAACCTAAACTATTCCATTATCATCCATATGTTTATCCAATGACCATTTAAATGCCCTTAAAGTGGGCGAGTCTACTATTTTTGCAGGCAGGGCATTCCACGCCCTTACTACTCTCTGAGTAAAGAACCTACCTCTGACATCTGTCCTATATCTATCACCCCTCAATTAAAAGCTATGTCCCCTCGTGCTAGCCATCACCATCCGAGGAAAAAGGCTCCCACTGTCCAGCCTATCTAATCCTCTGATCATCTTGTATGTCTCTATCAAGTCACCTCTTAACCTTCTTCTCTCTAACGAAAACAGCCTCAAAACCCTCAGCCTTTCCTCATAAGACCTTCCCTCCATACCACGCAACATCCTGGTAAATCTCCTCTGCACCCTTTCCAATGCTTCCACATCCTTCCTATAATGCGGTGACCAGAACTGTACGCAATACTCCAAGTGCGGCCGCACCAGAGTTTTGTACAGCTGCAACATGACCTCATGGCTCCGAAACTCAATCCCTCTACCAATAAAACCTAACATACTGTACGTCTTCTTACCAACGCTATCAACCTGGGTGGCAACTTTCAGTGATCTATGCACATGGACACAGAGATCTTTCTGCTCATCCACACTACCAAGAATCTTACCATTAGCCCAGTACTCTGTATTCCTGTTACTCCTTCCAAAGTGAATCACCTCACACTTTTCTGCATTAAACTCCATTTGCCACCTCTCAGCCCAGCTCTGCAGCTTATCTATGTCCCTCTGTGACCTACAACATCCTTCTGCACTATCCACAACTCCACCGACTTTGGTGTCATCCGCAAATTTACTAACCCATCCTTCTACGCCCTCATCCAGGTCACTTATAAAAATGACAAACAGCAGTGGCCCCAAAACAGATACAATCATGGGAGAAAATTCTGTGCTCAGGTGCTTGCAACTAGAGTATAACACACACATACACACACACAGGAATGTAGAAATTCCTCACCTGTCTAAATAATTAACAATATTGGGATTTTTATTTTCCCTCATGACCAGAATCTCATTAATAATCAACTCTTTCTTGGGTTGTTGTTGTAAATTCATTTGTTTGATCGCAACCTGAAAACAACAATAAGAAATAATTGAAGAGAAACTAGATGTCATCTCTGGTTTCAGTTTAGCAAAGCCACATCACGGCTGTAACACAAGTGATTTGTTTGGCTCAACTTACCTCTTGCCCAGTGGCTACATCAATTGCTGTGTACACTGTGCCTGAAGCTCTGTTAGTGGAGAGCAAATAATATGTTTAAATTATTTGAAGCTGATGGATCATCTGCCACTGTAGCATACAGTTCATTGTAATTAGCAACTTGTAGTGCATGGCTTCAAATTAATAAAACGTGAAAAGACGCTTCACAGGAGCATTAAAAAATAAAATAGGAACTGAGTCACATAAGGACATGAAAGGTCAGATGAACAAATCAACTTGGCCAGTGGCAGTTTGATAACAATTAAACACCACTTCAGAGGACACAGAAACCAACAGAAATCAATGTCCTTTGATTCACCACCAAGTCTGCAATGTTAGAAAAGGCAATACCAGATGTCCATGGCACACTGTTGCACTCAAAAGGTCCAATAATATAAGCTACAACATGTTAAACAGACATTCCGTGATATCATGAACTACAGGCAAACAAGCTCCAATGTTGTAAGCCATAGTTTGACAAGCATTAATGCAATGCATTTTAGATTTCACAACATCAAATAGACAATGTTATACTAACCCCTGTCCAATTTTCTCAAATCTGGAGTACTTCTTTTTCGGATCACCCACTGTTACGATACTCCCTATGAGATTGGAAAAGGATGTTAGAGTTTCTCATCATTAAGAAAGTCAATGTTTGAAAATGGGAAACAACATAAAATAAAACCCACGTAAACATAAACATGTCAACCGTCCAATCTCTTGGCAAAGCATGGATTGGAAAGGCGTTTTAAAAAAATACCCACAAACTTTCTTCCTAAAACAATAGACGTGAAAATACACATTGAGTTGGTAAAGGCTGTAATATTTTAGTAGATTTCTTTCCATTATTTAATTAATGAAATTTGGACATCGCCAATCAGGACATTTCTTTGTCATTCTGGATAGGAACAGGAGGCGGCTATTCAGCCCCTCAGCTTGTTCCACTATTCAATGAGATCATGGCTTAACTGTGGCCTAACTCCACGTATCTGCCTTTGGCCCATATCCCCTAATACTTTTGCTTAACAAACATTTATCTCAGATTCAAAGATAACAACTGATCCAGCATCCACAGCCATTTATGCAAGAGAGTTCCAAGACCAACTACCCTCTGCGTGTTGAAGTGCTTCCTAACATCTCTCCTGAAGAATCTGGTCCTAATTCTCAAACAATGCCCTTAGTTCTAGAATCCCCAACCAGTGGAAATATTGTAGCTTCATCTACCCTGTCTTTTCCTGTTAATTTCTTGAAGACTACAATCAAATCACCCCTTCACCTTCTAAATTCTAGAGTAAACGGGCCTAATTTGTATAATCTTTCCTCAAAGTTTTGACTTTAAATTGATCCTGAGTGGTGAAAGTGGGCTTGAATAACATTAGGTCACCCTTTCCAGCAACATCCGCCACCAGAGAATTTTTTTCCCCCAATTCTCACCAGGACAAAATAATGAAACCAATAAATTTGGTATTGTGGATTGGCCGCTGTCAAAAACAACCAGATAATTGTAGAAACACCAACTGCTTTACTAAACTCCTTCAAGGAAGGAGGAAATCTGCCACCACTCTAACAATCAAAACTTAACTGCAGACCACACTATCATGAACTCAATGACCATTAAAGTAGCCTACTAAACCACTTGGTGACAATAAAACCAAACCCAGGATCCCAGGGAAACTACAGATGGGGTTACAGATGGTGGACTGGTCACCGTCACCCACATTATAGAAACACTGTCCTGGCAGATGTAAGGAGGTGAACAGCCAGGGATGACTGATGCCAATGTGAAAATACCCTTACAAGGAATCAATTTTAACAGAGGAGTATATGGAGAGAAAATAATGGTAGGGGTGAGCCATAACTAAAAAAGGTAATGATATACCACTGAGCAGTGAATTGCTCACTTTCACCTGGCCCTGCTGTGGACAAGTACCAGATAAGTAGCATTAGCTCGCATCAGGTGCAGGACAGACTTCCTTCCAGTTTATCCCTCAATCCTACCACCACTCCATCACTGATATTTCTATTTCCACTCTAGTTGATCTGGTGGCTTCTCCAAGCAAGTTTGTCCATTTAGCACCAAATCATTATCAAGTCAGGTCTGTCAAACTGGGGTCATTTCCACTTGGCTGACACTGCCCAAACTCATTCATTGCAGCAACTAACAGAAAGGAAACTTGTACCTCATCAATTAGCACTGGATTCGAACCCCTACCTTCTGTGGCAAAAACAAAAGGCTGGCAACCAACTCAGTTCACTGCACAGAGACCAAGCAAGGTTAAGTTTGATAGTTGACATACTCAATTTTTCCAGTATCTCTTCATCTGTCATTTTGGTCTTCTTCTTTTGTTTCTCCGTGTTCCTCGTTAGGGTGTTTGAAGGGGTGGTGTTATTCTCAGAGGGTGAGGAGATGGGAGACGTGGCTGCATCTTTGGTGGGTGGGAGAGGGATAGGATCTATCACAGACCGCGTATACATCTACAGAAAAGGGAGGAAAGGAAATAGGCATAAGGTTCAAGACAAAAAAGGGACAAGCTTGAGGAGAAAAAAAATGCCATGAATAAAACAAAAAAAGCCAACTGGAAATATCAATAGCAGGCTTTATGACCGTACTTTCATTACGCACTTAATCAATGAAGAATTAGTTCAATTTTCTCCTCTCCTGAAGAAAGCAACTCACCCTGGCAACATACAGTCCTATAGGTGATTATATAGGTATATTATAGAGGTATATATCCTGTAGAAGACAAGTACTGTTCCAAAAGTGTGCAACGAGACAGCAAACAATGTAGGGTGATTCAACTAGAATTGAAACACTTGAGCCACAGTCCAATAAGAGCTGGAAATCTGAAATAAAACCAGAAAGTGCTGGAGGAACTCAGCAGACCTGGCAGAAGCTGTAGAGCTAGAAACAGAATTAAACTTTCGAGTCCGGTATATTTCCTCTGGAGCAGAGAAGGTTGAGGGAGGTCTAATAGAGGTATATAGGATTACAAGGGGTATCAAAGGGTGGACAGAAAGCAGCTGTTCTCTTTAGTTGAAGGGTCAAAAAGAAGGGGGCAAACTTTTAAGGGGGAAGGCAGGAGGTTTACAGAGGATTTGAGAAAAAGATTTTTCAGCCAGAGGGAGGTGGGGATCTGCAATGCACTGCCTGGGAGGATAGTTGAGGCAGGAAACCTCACAACCTTTAAAAAGTACTTGGATGAGCACTTGAAGTATCATAACATTCAAGCCTAGTGCAAGAAAGTGGGACCAATGCAGGTAGTACTTTAGTTTTGCCAGCACAGACTCAATGGCCTGAAGGGCGATTCTGTACTGAATGATTCTATGACTCTTCTTCAGATCTGGAAACGTTAGCGTCTGTGGCAAGAGTAACAGGTGAGTTTCTCCAACCATTTGTTTTTAGTCGGGCTACCATCAACTGCATATTCTAGCCAGAGATATCAGACATAAATCAGAATGGACCATAGTAGCTTGACAAGAAAGACTCACTTTTTTGGTTACTAAACAGCTTTTTGGAAGAGAAGTTAGGGAAGACGGGAAGAGGAACTATAAAATAGATTTGAACTCTTCATTAGCAAACTCACGAGACAAATGCCCTTGGTCTTGGAACTAATCACATAAAACGAAAATCACTCGCACGTTACTTTTTTGGCAAGTAGAGTGCAAATCATTTCGAATTCATCTCTCCTTGTAGTGCACCGGGATAAAAATTAATTGCCATTTAAATTTTATTGTACAGGATACTCTAGCTGACTGAACCTCATTTTGTCTATCTGTATAAAATCACAATGTGTTTGCTTTGGTAAAAACCATTTTAATTGATGGCATAAAAGTGTTTTAATTATAGATGAAAACAGATACTTGGGATGATGGCAATTACTTACTATTACCACTCATTACAAATTTATCACTTGTGGCTGCACTATACAGAGACTATTCTTCAACATATTTCAGACTCAAATTATTTAGTGTTAGAACGTATCTCACACGGTGATGTGCATTTTTGGTGAAGTTACTAACACTTTGTGCTGACGGGGCTCTGGTGAATTGATGCATTAGCATCTCAGGACTGCGTCTTCAAATACTTTTCATTAGCATTTCTGCATTTGGGATTATGGAATTTCTACCATTTTCACCCGTGTGCACACACTTCTCCACTTCTAGTCTGTAGAAAAGACAAATCATTTTCCTATACAGTTGCAAATTTTTCATTTTAGAAGAGTTTTCCAGTTGCCAGATGCAGCAGCTCTCAACTGTGACCATAAGATGTAGGAGCAGAAGTAGGCCATTCAGCCCATTGAGTTTGCTTCACTATTCAGCGAGATCATGACTGATCTGGTAACTGTCAACTCCACTTTCCTGAATTGTTCACATAACCCCAGATTCCGTAACTGATTAAAAATCTTTCCTGGCCTCGAATATACTTAACAACCCAGCTTCTGCAATCCTCTGCAATAAACAATTCCACAGATTCATTACCCTTTGAAAAATTTCTCCTCATCTGTTTTAAATAGGCCATTGTTACTCAGATTATGCCCACTGAATCTAGGCTCTCCCACAAACAGAAGACCTCCCAGCATCTACTTCCTTGCAGTCTTCCTCCATTCCATTTAAGCAATATTCAGCTCCTCTAACCTACCTGCCAATGTGCATAACCTCACCTTTTCTGACATTATAACCTATCTGCCAAGCTTTTGTTCATTCACTTAACCTTTCTGGAGTACTCTGCAGAATCTGTGTGTAACCCTCACCACTTGCACTCCAACCTATTTTCGTGTCATCCACAAACTTGGTGATAGTACATTAAATTCCATCATCCAAGTCAGCAACATACACTGTAAATAATTGTGGCCCCAGCACTGATCCTTCTACTTGTTAGATTATCAACCTAAAAATGCCACTCTTAACCCAAATCTACCTTCTATTAGAGATAGCAAGAACTGCAGATGCTGGAGTCAGAGATAATGCAGCGTGGAGCTGGAGGAACAGAGCAGGCCGGGGTCCTGACCCGAAACGTCAACTTTCCCGCTCCTCTGATGTTGCCTGGCCTGCTGTGCTCCTCCAGCTCCACACTGTGTTATCATTATCTTCTATTAGTTAGCCAATCCTCTATCCATGGCAATACGCTGTCCTAACACCATGGGCTCCTATGTTATCAAACAGTCTTATGAGTGGTACCTTAATCAAGAATCTTTTGGAAATCCAAATATATTACATCCTATGTTGCCCCTTTAACTATCCTGCTTGCTAATCAATGATTCTAATTAATCTATCAGGCATGATTTCCCCTCCATGAAACCATGCTGACCCTACTTGATTATATCATGTGTTTCTAAATGCTCTGCTGTTACATCCTTTATAATAGAACCTAATATTCTCCCAATATTAAGCTAACTGCCCTATAATCATCTGCTTTTGACTCCCTCACTTTTTAACTAAAGGTATTACATTGGCAGTTTTTCAATTCTCTGGGACTTTTCTGGAATTGAAAGACTCTTGCAAAATTATTACTAACGTAACCACTCTGTAGCCACTTCCTTTAATATGCTCAGATGCAATCCATCAGGGCCAAGGGACTTTTTGGCTTTTAGCCTCGTTTGTTTCTGTAGCATCTTTTCTCTAGCAATAGTTACTGTATTTCTTTTACCCCTCGATTAATTAGTATTTTTGCAATGCTAGTAATGCCTTCTACTATGAAGGCTGATGCAAAGTATTTACTCCATTCCTCCGCCATCTTCCAATTGCCCATTATTTCCCTAACCTCATTCTCTGAAGGGCTTATGTTCACTTTGGCCTTTCTCTTTATATATTTATACATCTAAACGGTCCATTTTTATGTTACTTGATAGTTTACTCTTGAAGTTTATTTCTCCTTTTTTGGTCATCTTTTGTTGGTTTATAAAACTTTTGCTTGAGAAGACCAAAACTCAGTTTGATGCAACACCTGCCCACACACCACCTCCCTCACCTCCACTGAGGGCCCTAAACAGCCCTTCCAAGTGAGACAGAACTTCACCTGCAGCTCCTCCAGCCTAGTCTACTGCATCCGGTGCTCCCGATGTAATCTACTCTATGTCGATGAGACCAAATATATACTAGGTGACTGTTTTGCCAAATTTCTTCGCCTGACCTGTAACGGCCAGCCTAACCTCCCGGTCACCGCCTATTTCAACTCCCTACCCCACTCCCCCTCCGACATGTCTGTCCTCGGCCTCCTCCAGTGTTTCAGCGACTCAGAATGCAAATTTGAAGAACACCACCGTATCTTCCGCCTGGGCACACTACAGTCTGCAGGACTCAACATCGAGTTGTCCAATCTCAAATAACCTTCCCACCCTTCTCCCGCCGTCCCTTCCAGCCTCACCTCCTCCCTTCCTTTCCACCTTCCAACCCTCTCTTCCAGCAACCAATTGGATTCGTCCCTCCCATCAACCAACCAGGCTGTACCTACTACCAGCATCCACCTTTGACCACCAATCAGCTTCCACCCTTCCCCTGTCTTTATCTGCAGCTCCCCCTACCCCCACATCCAGCCCTGAAGAAGGGTAATACCCGAATCATTGACTGCTCCTTTCCCCCAGATGCTGTCTGGCCTGCTGTGTTCTTCCAGCCTCCCGTTTGTGGGTCTACCTTGGATTCCAGCATTTGCAGTTTTTTTTTGTCTCTGACTCAGTTTGCCTACTCATTTTCCTTTTTAAATACCTGTAGAAACTCTTGCTATCTGTTTTTACGTTTGTAGCTTGATTTGTCTCAATACTCTAATTTCTTTGTTTTTCCACACCCTTCAAGCTGACAACAGCCTCACCTCCCAAGTGCCAGCAAAAAAATGACCAACGTTGATGTTAAAACTATAACGGCTCCTCCAGTCATCCGAATAAATAAGAGAGTCCTTCGGTCACAATACCAATACATTGCCGAAAATCCATCTGCCCAGAGTTAATCAATTTCAACTGAAGGTGGTAGCAACGCGCTTGGGTCCTGTGCATGGTTTTAGCCAGGGCCAGTCTGCTTTGTTATTATGAATGGAAAGACACAGAGATTGACAACCCAATGACACCTGCAGCCTCAGTTCGCTTGGAAAATGATTGTTTTAGCATGGCATTAGAAGCTAACATCACTATGGAAACATTCCTGTGTGTGTTAATGGGGAGGAAAGAGAACAAAATCATAGACAATAAAGAATTTCCCTCAAAGATGAGGAAACCTCAGCTCTTCTACCCATTTGGAGGTAGTATATAATAATCAGTTCAGCAACACAAGAGGTCTGTGCCAGCAATATGTAATAGTTATCCAATTAAAAATTCTTATGTGCTGTTCCTTGGCATGTGTCAGATTGATTCCTACATTCCTACAATAGGAGATCTCCCTCTAAGGAGAATTAATTGCTTCTATTCTCTGGAATTGAGACGAATGAGAGGGGATCTCATTGAAGCAAATGCAACTCTCAGGGCTGAAGAGCCAAGAATTACATGTCTTTATCTTTGACTGATGAGCTGAGGAGGCCTGTTAATCTCTGAAAATTCTCCACTCTAGAGGGTTGTGGATACTCAGTCAGTCAATGAGAACATTAAAGGTATATTAAGTATAATTTAAGGTACTGAATGGGGATAGGGTGGTAAAGTGGCATTGATGTAAACATTCAACCAGGATGCTATGGAATGCCCCACTCCTGCTCCTGTCCCTTGTGTTATAATGTGTACTGACCGATTTGGTGTGTTCTGGTCGTGGTGCAATTGCAGGCGGCGGAACACTTTCATCTTCATCATCGTCTTCTGACACTGGAGGCACAGCCGGGGACTCTGACACGTTCTTTGTACTCTGCAGGTAAAGGTATGGTTACTCCAATAACACACTATACTTTCACCAAATGTGTTTCCTTTTATTCGAACATTACCATGAGTGTGGAACCTCAGTCATTGAAGCATATCATGGGGGGGGGCGGTGATGGCCTCGTGGTATTATCACTGGACTATTAATCCAGAGACCCAGATAACATTCTGGAGACCGGGGTTTGAATCCCACCACGGCAGATGGTGAAATTTGAATTCAATAAATATCTGGAATTAATCATCAAATGATGCCGTGAATCCATTGTCGATTGTCAGGAAACCCATTTGGTTCACTAATGTCCTTTAGGGAGGGGAAACTGCCACCCTTAACTGAGCTGGCCTACATGTGACTCCAGGCCCACAGAAATGTGGTTGACTCTGAACTGCCCTCTGGGCAATGCTGCCCGGCCAGCAACATCCTCATCCCGTCAATGAATAAATAAAACCGTCATGAAGAAACACTAGATTTACAGCAGTGCAGGTCAAGCATTATTTGCCTTGGGCCATAACACAAAGGAGCAGAATTAGGCCATTCGACCCATCCCATCTGCTCCACCATTCGATCACAGCTGATGTGTCTCTCAACCCCATTCTCCTGCCTTCTCCCCGTAACCCTTGGCCCCTTTACTAATCATTCCGAATTGATTTTGAAATGAGTAGCTTACTCGTCCATTTCAAAGCGAAGTTAGGAGTCAACCACAGTGCTGTGGATCTGCAGTCATGAGTAGGACAGACCAGTTAAGGTTGGCAGAATACCTTCCCTAAAAGGCATTACTTCGCTAAACCAGATAAAACATCTATGATAGTTTACATGGTCACCATGCATCATTAGCTTTATATTCTGACCTATTGATGGAATTTAAATTCCACTAGTTGCCATGGTAGGATACGAATCTGCATCCCCAGAGGCTTAGACTAGGCCTTGGGTTTATTAAACATTGTCACTGTGCGACTGTCCCTCAAGTGGAATCATGGGAGATTTTTGATTTAATAATATGACAAATTAATACTCTGGTTTATTCCATGGGGGCCCTCAGTGCAAGTATTTACAACTGTTAAAAGACCCATTGGCCACCTTCAATTATTGGCTTGTTTGGAAAACGTAACGCAAAATTCAGGGGAATCAGTAGAGAAAATCCAGACCCAGTGAGGGAATGAAGGACCGGAATAAGAGAATCGATTATGAAAATGTGACACATTGACGCAGGAGAAGAGAAGGTTAAGATGCAATATGGAAACTAAAATTTAAAAGAGAAGAGATAACACAGCTTTGGAAAGTGGTCATGAGTAATTACACATTACGAGCTACAGGTGCTTGAAAGAAAATTCAGATCATTAAAATAGGAATAATTTCCACATGTTCTGGGAGAGAACAAATAATTTTGAACTTACGATTCCCAAAGCCTTCTGCCACCGTGACTTTCGTCACTTCACGTCCGGCTCTGTTGCAGATCAATTGCTATAGTTTGTCAATAACTCCAGTGTATCAACAATTGATCAGCAACATCATGCTATCATAGTTAGTAGTCTATGATACAATCAGGGAAAAGTGAAGGCCTAGTGGTACTATCACTGGTCTAGAAATCCAGAGACCCAGGTGACGTTCTTGAGATTAGGTTGTGTTTGACTAGTGTGGATGTGACTCTATGACTAATAGCATGGCAGAAGATCAGCTAAGTGCATCTTGGTCTTTTCTGCCCAATAGCTTGTGTATTTATGCTCTAAATCCAGAGTAACTCCAATCTAGCAATATCAAATTCTGGAAAAATTCTCACATCTGCGTTTTTAACAACCCAATGTGTTTGCAATGTACTATGACAACGTAAGTGGGCGGCAGAGCTTCAGGTATTTCATTTTCACAAAGTACATTACTTGACTCAGATGTTTTGTTCAAGAATGTATACTCCATTCTCAAAAGACACAAACAGATTTTGAAATACTCCCCTAGATATTGAGCTATTCTACACGTCAACACCTAAACATTGCATTTAAGATCTTAACCTATACCTCACCCATACACAATGCAAAGGTGCATTATCACACAGCAACTGCTAATGTTCCAAGCAGTTCAAACAAGCTGCACACAGCAATACCTCCAAGTTACTCAGTACTCTTAAGAGACCACGCAATTTGACCATGCACAGCAAATGAAGGAATACTTTTCCTGTGTCCTTGATGACAAATCCTAGAATCCTACAAATGGTTTCCAATCTCTACTCCCAGAGCAGCAGCAGCATCCACGGAAGAAGACAATAAAAGCTTTAGACCATGAGCGCCACCCATCTGTGATGCTGCTGAACATGCTGATTCTAGAAGAGACCATTTCCAAACCAATCACAATGATTTGAGTAAGAGAACTCACCAGTGCATTTGAGGAAGCATACCCATCTGTTGTTTTATCTGCAGAAAACAGAAGAACAGATTTGTGTTACAAGTGTACTACTGGAAAACTTATTCAGAACACCTCAACTATTGCCACAATTTCTGGGGCTCAAATCACTCGAGCTGTACACTCTCCAATGCTCTGCAACTCATCCAACCTGGAACTTTATCTAGCAGCACTATAGAACACAGCCGCAGCAAATCAACAAGTGGTCTTACTACTTGAGGTTAAGAAGAAATAAGATAATGATTAAATTAAAGTAACTAATAAAACGATGGTATAGCATAGGAAGATGTCCAAAGACAGGAACATTTTTATGAACTCATTTACAGCTTGGACATACTACAATAACAAGGAATCTACCAAGACACTAGGTAAGATTTGACAGCAAACCAGGTAGAGATATTGGGGCAGTTGCCAAAAAGCACATCCAAAGACAGAGCTCAAGGAATACACGTAACATTTTAAAAATAAAGGAGCAAGAGTCAACCATGCAGCCCTACGAGATGGCTCCATTGTTCAACCAGATCATGGCTGATCATCTACTTCAACACCCATTCTCCCGTATTTTGACCTCAACACTTCATGTTTTCAAGATGTAGAAATGTATCCATCTTAGTCTTGAACGTACTCAATGACTGAGTGAGTAACTAGAGTCCTCTAGAATTCAAATTGCAAAGATTCACCGTCCTCAGTGAAGAAAATTCCTCCACATCTCAGTCTAAATGGTCTGTGCCATATTCTGAGGCAGCGTCTTCTGATTCTAGACTATACCCAGCCAGGGTAAATACATCTTTCCTGAAAGCACTCTGTGAATCACTGCAAGTGCATTATATGTTTGAATGAGATCAAACAGCCCTCATTATTCAAAACCCTGGAGGATACAAGCTTAGTCCATTTAATCTTTCCTCGTAGACCTTCAGACTTGTTCTGAAGAAGGATCATTGGATTCAAAATACTCACTCTGCTTTCTCTCCATAGATGATGCCAGAGCTGCTGAGTTTTTCAGGCAATTTCTGTTTTTGTTTCAGATTTCCAGCATCTGGAATTCTTTGTTTTATTTTGGATGTCAACAGCAGTTGGATAGTTCTATGCTGTTAAACATCAGGCAGCTGTTTTATGTGTTAGTAGGCAGCTAGGTTTTGGAGGCGGGGTCTGGAAAAGTGCTGGAATTTGTGGGAGCCATTAACAGTTCAGTTCAACTAAAAGTGCAGGTTGAAGGCCCACAGCAGCAATTGAACAAGATTAGAGATTGAGGAAAAGTCCAGAGTTGTTCTAGCTTGGTGGAGCTACATATCAAGGGGAAAAAAGTCTGAAGTTGTATCTGAGTGTAAGTATTGGGATTCAGCTTCTGAAGTTGATGAGAGCATTGATCCAGGAAAAGGAGGGCGATCAACCAGAACAGAACAGAACAGAATAGCTCGAGAGTTAAGGCCAGATCAGCAGAAGAGAAGAATTGTTCAATGAGATTTGTTAACCGATGTCATTAACATCTGGGGAGATATTATTGAGAAAGCCCTAGGATCGGTCTTGTTCACAGGTTTGATATGCACTATGGGATGTTCCATCTCAATTTACTATCAATATTTACCACATGTTAATTCTGGATTAGAATACAAGTTGTAGATCAATTATAGATTATATTGCAGTTCTAGTGTTGTATAGTAAAGTTTAAATATTATTAAAAAGGAAACTAGAAGTTCATCAGAACTAGGATGGAAGAAATAGAAACACCATTGTGTGCAAAAATCGTGTCTCCTTTTTCCCCCCCTAGTCTGCTTCCTGCATCCTAGCTCTGATAAGTGCAAGGCAGAAAGCTTCAATTTCTAGTCGCCTTTCAGCAATGTTGAAGTTATGTTTTACCAAGCATAATAAGCTTATTGTTGTAAGATCAAAGCTGTGGAACAATGTGGCTTTATTCTTTTATTCAGCCACTGGGAACTCCCACTCGCTCTACTTTAAAAGTAAAGTTAGCCATCCCTAACCACACTGCAACACAAGTTGGCAGTCTTGTCCAGGATCAAAACATCCTGCACTTAAACCCTCTTGTAATAAAGGTCAATATACCATTTGCCTTCTTAATTATTAACTTGCTGTACCTGCAACCTGAAAATTATTCATTTATTCAGACTCTGTTTAACAGACACAAAATAATCAATGATCATTCCAGCATACTTCCTGCAATTCCATATGCTCTAATTTTATCAACCTTTTGTGTGGGACTGCATCAAAAGCTTTAGGAAATGGGTAATCCCTTTATCTATACTACTGGTCAGAATCTCAAAACTCCAGAAAAATTAGTAAAACATTATTTCCCCTTCATAAATCCATGTTGATTTTCTGCAATTTTACCATTATTTCCAAATGTCCTATTACCTTTAATAATATGTTCCAGCAATTTTCCTAAAAGGGAGGTCTGTAGTTTCCAGTTTTCTCTCTTCCTCTTTTCTTAAATATTGGGGTTACATTTGCCACCTTCCAATTTGCACAGTCCATTCCGGAGTCCATGGAATTTTGAAAGATAAGCATCAATGCATCTACTGTCCCTAAAACCACTGTATACTATGTATGATTCCCTTTGTGATAGCCAGTGCCTGTCTACAGACATACCTTTTAATATAGTTTCTCAATCCACCACAGCCAATTTGCACCTTATAGCTTCGGTTAGATTCAAGACTAGTTTTGAACTGAACTGCAGCACTTTCAAAATTAATGTATATTGTTGTTGTACAGTTTTTTGTAAACTCAAGGATGGGAGAACATAGCTGAAGAAAGAGTCAGTATCATGCAGTGAAGGAATCTTAAAGTGTGTAAGAGGTCAGAATTGGACATGTCAGCAGATTGTGCAGCTGGAGGAGGTTAGAGAGTTAGGGAGGAGTGGACAGAAAGGGAGAGAGGGAAAAGGAAGAAATAAAGATTGTGTAAGTCATGGCTGGTGCCAAAGAGCATACCAGTCAACAAAAGGCAATGAACAAGAGTTGAATATCGAGTTACAACCCAGATCATCTTGCTTTGCTGAATGGGAGAGTAGAAGAAAAAGGAAAGGGGACATTAGGAAAATGGGAATGGAGAAGATTAAATTGTTTCTTACCTGTGAAGCTCATGTATTTTTGACTATTTGAGGTTTCTTTTGAATCGTAGAATTTCAAAACATCCAACACTGCTTGTGGATTCTTTTTCTGCTCTAATTTGGTGATATTTGATGTCTGTAGTAACCGAGCCCATTGTTCTGGCATGCCCTGGGATGGCGGAGACAGACAAAAAAAAGATTTAATGCTACAATCTACCCGGGATTATATGGAACAATTTATACCAGCAGCAAAGTTCAGTTTATTAATAATTTTCTTTAAAACCTTTTGGACTCAATACTGCCCTGGATCTCCAACATCAACTTCCAACAAGATTCCACTGGATTGCAATAACTGATTATAAAAATTCCGCCCAATCATCTTGCAATAACTAAGCCCGGGGATCAGTTAAAAATCACTATTTAAATGTGGACATGTATAAACTCATCACAGACCAGAGATTGAACCAGCTGTAGTTCAGTGGCTTACTAAACAAGCTCAGGTGAACCTGTAGACATCGGACTGAATGGTCACAGAACAATTACAAAATGATGCAGACACACCCATGTTTCAAATAAGCAGATCTGCCATTGCATAATTCAACTTCTTAACAGTTCGAGATTCCAAGGCAATTCCAAGCGATGATAATATATTGTGTGAAGAACTCCGACACCTACTCTCAATTTCTTTTCACCATTTTGATCTCGTGCCATCTCTAATAGTGTTATTTTATTAAACTAAAATATGCACAGTATGGTTTTGTTACGATGATATCAAAACGGGGTGGCATGGTAACTCAGTGGGTAGCACTGCTGCCTCACAGCGCCAGGGACCTGGGTTCGATTCCACCCTCAGTCAACTGTCTGTGTGGAGTTTGCACGTTCTCCCCGTGTCTGCGTGGGTTTCCTCCGGGTGGTCTGGTTTCCTCCCACAGTCCGAAGATGTGCTGGCTAGGTGGATTGGTCACGCTAAATTGCCCGGTGTTCAGGGATGTGTAGATTAGGTGGGTTACAGGGGGATAGGTCTGGGTGGGATGCTCTGAAGGTCGTTGTGAACTTGTTGGGCCAAAGTACCTGTTTCCACACTGTAGGGATTCTATGAACAGAGATATTGATGATCAGGGAAAAAGGGCTGTTGCAGGTCAGTAGTAGTGCCCCTATCTCTAAGCCACCAGGCATGGGTTCGATTCTCATATTCTGGACATGTATCGTAACAGGTTGCTTAAAATAATTATAACAATCAAGATGTCATTAACACGTTGCGGCTCTTTTCTCCATAAAAAAGTAACCTGTAAAAAAAAACTGATACAGCCTTTAAAATTTCAAGAGGAGTGGGACATTTAGTATCTGAAGCCTGTTCTCGGCCATCCAGTGAGATCAGAAAGAAATTTCTCCCTTACCCTGTGCATCCATCGTGGCCTTTGATGTGAAAAACCAAAAGAACTGCGGATGCTGTAAATCAGGAACCAAAACAGAAATTGCTGGAAAAACTCAGCAGTCTGGCAGTATCTGTGAAGAAAAAAAAATCAAAAGTTAATGTTTCACGTCCGGTGACCCTTCCTCAGAACAGCTCTGAGGAAGGGTCACCGGACCCGAAACGTTAACTCTGATTTTTTTTTTCTTCACAGATGCTGCCAGACCTGCTGAGCTTTTCCATCCAGCAACTTCTGTTTTTGGCCCTTGATGTCTTTAGCTCATAAAAAAAAGTCAATAACCATTTAAATTTAACAATTTTTAATTTGATTTATTATTGTCACATGTACCAAGTTAGAGTGGAAAGTGTTGTTTTGCATGCTAACCAGACAAATCATACCTTACACTAAGTACATCAGGGTAATAGAACAGAATGCAGAATAGAGCGTTACAGCTACAGGGAAGGTGCAGACAAAGATCAACTCTAATATGTGAGAGGTCCATTCAGGAGTCTGAGAACAGTAGGGAAGAAGCTGTTCCTGAATCTGTCGGTACACGTTTTCAAACTTTTGTATCTTCTGCCCGACGGGAGAGGGTGGAAGAGAGTATAACCGGACTGAGTGTGTTCTTTGATGATGTTCGCTGCTTTCTCGAGGCAGTGGGAAGTGTAGCCTTAGTCAATGGAAGGAAGGCTGGTTTGTGTGATGGACTGGGCTGTGTGCACAACTCTCCGATTGATCTAGTATCAATTGCCACTTGTGGAACACTTCCAAGCTTCTACTGAAAAGTCAAATTAGGAAACATTTCTACACACAATGTTGAAAACTCTGACTAAATGTTGGACACCCAGTTCCAGGCTCCCTAATCAGTGAAAATAGTTTCTATCTACCACATTGGTCCTTTTAATAGCTTCAAAATTGACATTTTTTTTATTCATTCAGATGATGTCATAGGCTGGGGCATCCCATTACTAACTGTCCTTAACAAGGCAGTGATGAACTACCTAGTTGAACTGCCACAGTCCATGGGGTGTTGGGACACAGTCAGTGCTGTTAGGCAGGCTTGGGCTGACAAGTGGCAAGTGACATTCACGCCACACAAATGCCAGGCTATGACCATCACCAATAAGAGACAATCTAACCACCGCCCCTTGACATTCAATGGTGTTACCATCACTAAATCCCCCACTATCAACATCTTGGGAGTTATCAGTGATCAGAAACTCATTTGGACCCACCACATAAACACAGTAGCTACAACAGCAGTTCAGAAACTAGGAATGCGACACTGAGTAACTCACCTTCCGACTCCTCAAAGCCTGGTCACCATCTACAAGGCACAGTCAGGAGTGTGACTGAATACTCCCCACTTGCCTGAATGAGTGCAGCCCCAATAACTCCCAAGAAGCTTGACATAATCCAGGACAAAGCAGCCCACTTGATTGGCACCACATCCACAAGTATCTACTCCCTCCACCACCGACGCTCAATAGCAGCCGTGTGTACTAACGACAAGATGCGCTGCAGAAATTCACCAAAGATCCTCAGACAGCACCTTCCAAACCCATGACCAGTTCCATCTAGAAGGTCAAGGGTAGCAGACATAGGAGAACACCATCTTCAAGTCCCAAACCGAAATGTCAGCTTTCCTGCTCCTCTGATGCTGCCTGGCCTGCTGTGTTCCTCCAGCTCCACACGGTGTTACCACCATCTTCAAGATCTCCTCCAAGCCACTCACCATCCCGATTTGGAAATATATCGCTGTTCTTTCACTGTCGCTGGGTCAAAAATTTGGAATTCCCTCCCTAACAGCATTGTGGGTCAACCCACAGCAGGTGGACTGCAGCGGTTCAAGAAAACAGCTCACCACCACCTTCTCAAGGGCAACTAGGGATGGGCAATAAATGCTGGCCAGCCAGCAACACCCACATCCCACAAAATGACTAAGACTTTTTAAAACAATTCCACAACTTAGATCTGACAAAATCAAGCCTTAACCCTTCAAATTCTAGGACATACAACCCTAATTTGGGTAACTTATCCTCATAGTTTAAGACTTAGAGCCCACATATCATTGTGGTAAATTATAAAACAGTTCATCCAAGGTCAATACTATCCTTTCCACACACAGTCTAATCAGGGTTTTTTTTTTAAAAAAACAGGTGAAGCTGGTTTTCTAATCTCTAGCACTGCAGTCTTCTCCATGCAAAAGCCACCTTTCAATTAATCTTTTATTTTCCACACATTTCCATCACATTTTAATCATCCGCATACCACTGCCTCCCACCCCCCACCCAAAGGCTCTTAAGCCTCCACAGTTTTTAACAAGGAAACACTGGTCCAGATCTGCCTGTCCCTGAAGAGTTGAAGAACAAACACATACACATTCTCGAACAAATGTGTTCAGACCGCTCAGAAGTCCCGACGCATTGACCTCCAGAAAATGTGAAACAGATTAAAGTCATGCCCAAAGACAGGGTAACTATACAACTAACATCCCCTAAGCCCATTTCCACCTCTGGAACTGGACACACTACCCTATCCTGCTGCCAACTTATCCAATTATCCACCTAGCTCAACTACATTCATTCACTGATACACAGCTATTTAAATGCTCCAAAGATTTTTCTTGAGTGCGTTAGTGTAGTGACTGGAACCAGCTGGATGTTATTGACTACGAGAACCTTTACTGGGGTTGTTAACCTGGGCCAATCAGGGGGCCCTGGCTGACATATAAACAGGGGATACACAATCTCCTCAGTTGAGGACTGACTCTGAGCTGGTTGGCTACAGTCAGAGTACTGTGCAGACAGTGTAAATAAAGGGTGACTTGGTGACGACATACCACCCTCTGTGTGATTATTTCAGTTAATGAATGAAGGCTTACCAGAATATGGAAGCCAGGGCTGAAAAAATGGGCATGGTTGGTCTCCCCTATGACCCACACCATGAAAGATGGTTCCGATATAGCCCGCATTTCTGAAGAGGCCGGTTTGGAAGTCCCGGATAGAAACAAGAAGCCCAGTCACAGTATCTGGAAAGATTGAGGCTATCAACTCTGGAAGTGTCCATAATTAAAAGAAACCATGGCCACAGTGTGGTTTGGACATGCAGTTTTCCGATATGGCGAAATGGTAGCACATCTGACTCCATAAGGCCCATAAAACCCAAATCTCTCTCACACCTCACCTCATGCTCACTTCCTTAATCCCTCCAACAATTTGCAGGTGACTCAGTTAATAATCCAGAGGTTATAATCCTCTACATCCAGTTCTTTGATTTGGATCCTTGTTCATGATGCTCTCCAAAAACACACACCCAGCAACCCTGTACTGAATCAGCACCTTGCCATGAGGTGTCATTAAAGTATGGAGCAGTGTTCCAGATATTTTGCTCCCTCTCTTCCATGGAGGAGAAGTGTCTCCAACTCTCACTCCAGTTCATGATGTCTAAGCCAGAGAGATTCAACGCCGAGACATCTACGACGGGTCTATTAAGAAAAGGTATTGGGGGCAGGGTATTAACAGGTACAGAATTGGCTCTCTAATAGAGGATAGAGGATGGAGTTGGCATAAAGGAGTGGGTGGGGCAGGATGGCAGAAGTGAGTGGCCAAAAACTTGGCAGATGGAAAATAATAGGTTCTGCACTCCGGCAGGAGGAATAGAGGAGCTGAATATTTTTTAAAAGGAGAAAGACTGCAGAAAGCTACAGCACTGAAGGATGTGACAGCCCTTGCACATGAATAACAAAAGGCCAGCACTGAAAATAAGAATATCAACGTGGGGTGCTCTTGCTAAATCTATACAAGCTACTAATCAGAATACACCTGAAACAGTACAAACAAAGTGGAGGAACGGACTTCCCGTATGGAAGAATCTATGACCAGAGGGCATAAAACTCAAGAGGAAGGCATCACCCAGATAGGGCAGAGTTAAAGAGGAGCTTCTTGTGGAGTGTAGGGAATTCTTTACCACAGAGGGGTATGGAGGCTTTGTCATTAATTAAAAGCAAAGCTGAGACAGACAGATTTTTAATCAGAGTGTCATGGGGATAAGGCAGGAAAGTGGAGTTAAGGATTAGGAGGCCTGCCAATATCTCATTGAATGGCCTAATTCTGCTCCTGTACCTTATAGTCTTATGATATTCACTCAGGACAAATGTTGCTATCCACAGACATCCATTTGGCTGCAGTCCAAACACAGAAGCTGCTCTGTCTTGGTCTACATAACATACCCATTACTTTGATCCATTTTTCTTTTCCTACTTTGTAGAAATGGCCTACCACATTAAGCAGTTGTGACAAAACAGCAGATTCATTTCAGGGGAAACTAAATAAGGTACAAAGGGAGGTTGTGTGTCACAATGCATAGCTACTATTTCTCGGAGCCAGAATGTGATCAATGTGAAAATTGCCTCCTCTCAGAGGACCATAGGCTGCTCTCTCATTAGAGACAGAACCGGTGGGGAGTCTGACCTGAAGATCATCACATCTCAAACAATGCTGAGAAGGCAGAGCCTGCAAGGTGACTTCAGCCTGTACAGGAATTGATCCTGTCAAGGCAAAAAAAAAACAGAGTTAACATTTCGGGTCCGGTGACCCTTCCTCCTGAAACGTTAACTGTTTTTTCCTTCACAGATGCTGCCAGACCTGCTGAGCTTTTCCAGCAACTTTGTTTTTGTTCCTGATTTACAGCATCCGCAGTTCTTTCAGTTTTTATTTGGGAATTGATCCTGCTCTGTTAGAGTCATGCAGCACGGAAACAGACCATTCAGCCCAACTCGACCAGGTTTCCCAAACTGAACTAGTCCTGTTTGCCTGCATTGTTGCAGTCACTGTGCATTGCAAAACAGCATCAGCCAAATGAGCTAACCAGCCACCAGGACACAAGTTCATAATATGGCCGCACAAGTTGGTTATCAAGTTGTAAACATCCAATGGGCAATAAGAGTCACCATACTGGATGAGGACTGGCTCAAACCACAGTATGATGTCTGGCAACAGGCCAGTAAATTGTTCCAGGAGAAACCAGCTGTGGAAACAGATGTAAGCACAAGCTTTGCCTGTTTTGCACTCTAGTAGGCGTGAGACAAATCAAGAGAAAGCAGTTAAATATACGATAGAGAAAGGAATAGAAGAATAAATTGATTAGGCAAGATCAAGTAAAATGGGGCACAGTTCACGTGGAGCACAAATACAACATTAACCTAATCAATACTGTGCAAGTTCATGTTATTTATTATCCGTAAATTAAACTTCACATTAAGACACGGAATTACTTAAATTCTGGATGTTTGATCCCTTTGCCCCCATCCATTATAAAGTATACAATTACTTACTGTGAACTCGCCTGTGACAGCATCAAATCCAACATGTATTGTGTGCTCGAAATCAGAGGGCAGCGAGATTTCTGGTCGTTCCCGTTCTTTTTTCCTGTTGGCTGTCAGTAGAGAGGTTATTTGTGAATGGTATGAACAGCAGCAAGTGGAAAAAAAACATCAAAAACTGGACACGCTTTTAATGAGAAAGGGGCACAGAGAAATGAAACCTCTAAAACAGTGGGCAATAAAAGGAATGAGAGAGACATAACAGAAATGTGCAGCAATTTATATACTGCACTACAGAGGAAAGTAGACATGCATCAAAGTTGTATGATCGCTGCAGTTAACTGGACAGCAACAGAAATTAAATTAATCATGACAAGAGTCATGACTCACGATGTTTAAGCACTCTTAAAATGCACTCACTCAATTACAGCATTCTTGCATAAACAGTTTCAGCAATTTTCTCCACCCCCAGTGTAGCTTTTGAAAAGATGGAGAGTGTGTAAATTCCGGACAAATAAAAGAACATGGCTCTGTTAACTGTACAGTGTTCAGCTGATGTTAATGAGCTTTCTATCTTTGAAGTTTGGGCTAACCACTTTTTCACACATGGACAGGGATAATACCCTCGCAACTACAGGCCAGCAATCTCCCACATGTATTACTGTGCCAGCCATCGCCCCTCCTCCCAATGCTATCCTAACCGTACTAAACAGAGAGCAGGTAGAACATAATGGGCAAAGCCCAGAGCTCTCAGCAATGGTGAAAATCCTCTGTTCAGACTGTGGGGTTTAAATAGAGGCATTTCATCAATGCTTAGAAAGCTGGACTAACTCGGGGTCTTGTTACAGGGGAGAATACTCAAAAACCCTATAAGTGGATGGAGGGAGAAATGCAAGCAGCAATAATAAAATAAGAACATAAAACAATGGAAAAGAGGACAGGAATAAAACAAATCAGGATGCAGTCTGTTGCAGTTGCCCTAACAGCCTCAGCTTGATGCTCAACTGCGATGTTTTTGCTCAACAATCCCTCAGGAGTGGGCTCCTGATTGAAAAGCTCCCACCTGGAATTTGACGGTTCAGTTCCGGCCATAAATGTTACGTAACTCTGTTTACTAAACTTGATGAGCGTCCTTTACATCTCACTCTTGTATCCCAGAATCGGAAGAGAACTTTACAGCACAGAACATGGCCAGTTGGCTCATCAAGCAGGTGATGGCAAATTATCAAATAGTCAACTATTTATCTTTTAGACGTCTTTTACAAATTGTGCTTCCATTATCATTTCTGGTTGAACCTTCCACGTGCTCAGAATCCATTTAGTTAATTCATAAATCTTCAATTTGTACCCAATAATTACTGCCTAATGGACAGAATATCGTTAAATTTGTTTAACCAAAACTGCTCAACAGTTTGTAGGCCTTAACTTGAATTCCTCTTTACTTTTCCTGCTGTTCTGCAAGTAACCTGAATATCCTTATTGCTGATAATTAATGTTTTTCACTCCTGGTGACATGGATTTTAATCTTTAATGTCTGGAGGATAAAGAAAGTTGGGAGGAACGGGGAGATGGGAGATTATGGAAGGGGTTCGGGGTATGGGAAAGAGTTGATGGGAGGGAGCTGAGGGAAGAGGAAAAGGATGGAAAGAGGGAGGGGATGAAAGAAAGGAGGTGGGAAGGAGGGAGAAGGGGAGGCAGATGGAAAATCTGGAAGAGAGAGAGAGAGAGAGAGAGAGAGAGAGAGAGAGAGAGAGAGAG